AGTTTAAGGTTGTGGGTTTTGACCTTGCTATACCTTTCATGGGGTCGTCTGCTGTTGGGGCAGGGGCCCGGTAGGAATTTTGCCACTTGGCTGATTGGCTGGTGCCATTTGGTTTTTGCCTACCGTGTAGCAAATCATCACAACTTTGTAAGGTTGGCAGTTAGGCATTGGTTCATTCTTTGGTGGAGGGGATTATGAATTGGCTGTGCCTGCCAATTTTTTGTTGCTGCTGCTAGGGAATTCCATTAAAGGAATCCAGGGGCTCGATTTGCTCTGTCCGATCCCCTCTCAGGGGTAGGGCCATGCCAGAGTTCCTGGGAGCATCTGGGGTGAACTAAGAGGAGGAAATCCGCCTCTGTGCTCCCCCTGTATGTTTTCCCTTAGTGACCTCTGGAGGTTCCAGTTGTCAGCCCTGTTCCTGCTGGTGCAGGTTCAGGTAGTACGAACCAATGCCTAAGCAACCACTCATGTGCTGTAAACAATAAAGTTGTGGCCAGATTAATGCCAAAAATCTTAAATGAATATTCTGTGTCCTGTGTGATTTATTTTGGAGAGGGTTTGGGGGTCTTCACACGCAACACACTATGAGAAGAACTCTTGAGGTGATTGTGCATACTTTGATCAAACCTCTCTTTGTCTTATTAGTGTGCATGAGTACATTTCCCCCCTCAGTGAAACCCTAGACAAACAGAAAAATATTGATGCAACCAGATATAGGATCACATCACAAAGCAGATATGGACCCTGGCAACAGAGAGGGGCGTGTAATAGAGAGCATGCGGTAACAATGTGGTAAACTGCTTATGGCCCAATTATAGCAATTATTTAGCTAGAAATTTTTCTAGTTAAACAAGAATTCAGGAGGAATGAATGCAGGACCCAGTGACCTAGAGGAACAGTAAATGAACAGAACAGGAGGAAATCCTCTCATTCCTAATTGTAATGTGACATGAGGCCTCTCACAGACAGTGCTTTAATGGCTTACTGTAAAAGGAGAAAAAAATAAATTATTTGTCTCTCAGAGTTTACTGAGTAGAAGCTTCACATCCCCAAGAAAAGAAAGTCTTTGGTGTTCTGAACAGAACACTAAATACTCCTAGTCTTGTCACTAATATGTTTATAGGATGAAATTAAACCTGCTGACTCCACATGCCCTTTGAAATCTGCAAAATCAATGCTGTAATGTGTTTTCCCCATGTAGACTTCAGCAGTTCCCACAGCACTTATCTGTCTTCTGGTAGTTTGTATTTCAAGCCTGGTTCAACCCATTTGATAATGAAAGGGGAAGTGATGGAGTGAAATGAGACAGTGAAAGGAGTGTCTGCAGGAAATTAGTTTAGGAAAAATGCTATCTCAGACATCTTCATAGCTGCTCACAGGGTAATTTAAAAGTCAGCGAAGTACTGCTGCATTACTGCCTTCAGAGCGGTTAATGATGCCTTTAGCTAAAACCCAGAGTCTCCATTCCATGGCTAATTGTTTCTGAATAGATTGCAGCCAAAATGTCAAAAAGCTCAGATGGCATTTGGAGAACAGAAATATCCAGTAACACCAAAGCAACATTCCTATACACAGGACAGACCCTCCCATCTCAAAGTGCTTTCAAAGATCAGGCTTCTGAAAAACGTCTAGTTTGCATCACAAGAGATTTACATAATCTGATAGAGCCAACCTGAAAGGGGTGGGGCTGATAAGTCAAATCTGTGTGACACAGTGAGAGGTAAAACAGACTGCACTCAAATTAGGGACGCATCTGAGTTTACTTTTCCTTAACCCATCCTGAACACGACCACAAAATGGCTACAAATGCATATTTATATGATATGTCAGTGATCAGGCTTTTGTCCACAAGGAGCATCTTCTAGTGGTTGAACAACATTAGGCTCAAGTCTGAACACCAGTTCATTTGTTTCTTATGCAGAGGGGAAGCAGTGCATTTCCTTATCTCATTCCATGGGAAAAGGCCATATAGCTCAGTGGCAGAACACACTTTTTGCATGAAAAAGGTACCAAGTTCAATTGTTCTACTGTTGCTCTTCCATCCTGGGACCAGTTGGTTAGGGAAAGTTAGAAATGTTGAAAGTAAATGCATAATCATCTGGGAGAGAAATTCCTTTCTGAAACCATCATCGCCAGTGTAGACTAGATAAACCAATGGCCTGACTCGGTATATACCTGCTTTCTATGTTCCTCTTTACTTCACAGATAATATCCCACTTAAACCAAGTTTTCTTGGAAAGAAATTATTGAATTGGGCAATTACATGATCCAGTGTTGGTGTGGTGTGCATGACTCATGTGTGGCATCACCTCTGTGTTGGGAGAAAGTATGGTGATGATCTTCCACTATGCAAAAATCCAGTTAAGAGTCAAACCTGAGTCCTCTGGTAAGAATATTGACAGCATTTAGGTAGGATGACCTAGGTTTCTACTGTGCTAGACAAATGACGCAGATCACAATGAAGAAAAACAATTGTTTAGTTAATTCTCCCTAGAAATCACTTGGTTGGGTTAGTCATGGCTTCCTTTAAGTCCCATTCATTTCAGCGGGAACAAGTTCAACTAACTTGGCCTGAATCAAACCCAATGTGATTATCTAGTTCTGTTATATATACTGTGAAACATCTGGAGGTGGTCACTGCTGAAATATGTAAGAAATCTCATATATTTTCGTTATAGAATGGCTTAACTTAAAAATCTACCTTTTAGCTTCAATTTATGGGCTAGAATTGTGCAAGCATTGCAGCTTGCCCAATGAAACAATGCCCTCTGTCAAGGTGTCACAAGAGATCTTTCTGTCTTATTTCTGACTCCCTTTTAATATATAGGTTTGGAGAGGATTCACACCATAGATCACATCATTAACGAGTTCTGTTGTTAATTCCCCATTGCCATTGTTTCAGGTGATTTATGAATTTAGACATGTTATCAAAGCAATTTAAATGTGTTATTAATCATCACATAACAGTGATAACAAATTGCAGCAAACAGGTGTGCAGATTGGACCTGACAGAAGTATTGGCTTTTCTAATATCTGTACATGAATTCCATAATCTGTCTTGATGATTAATGTAGGCCATATGTGGAGACTTGCATGAGACACCAAGGAACAGCTGTAAGTTACAGAACCAGGTAAGACAGCTTGGCAGCTGAGCCCAACCAAGCTGCAAAATGATGAAATTTCAACAATTCTTTTCCATTGGATTACAGTTTAAACTTTGCTATCCAATACAGGCATTAACTGAAAAATGCTGCATTTCCATCTCTATTCTTTACAGCTATTGTCCCAGCTGTCAACCTTTCTGATTTCTGGGTTTCTTCTTCGTCTTGGTTATTGCTTCTTAATCTGAAAAAGTAATTTCAGTGAAAAACAAACAGTCCAGTGTGAGGTCTTAGCTTGTTATGTAGAATGCAATAAGTTTAATAAAAGCACTGGTATGGCCTAGTACTCATGAGGATTGCGTGCTCAATATGATTCACCACATTTTGTTCGGTTGAAAACATAAATATGGTCCTTTTTTCTTTCAAAAAAAAAATGTGTGTGCCATAAAGCAACACTAATTTATTGTCATGGCTTGAACAGGAATTCAGCTGAGGGCCCAATAGAAAGCTTTAACAAAGAGCTTTGTGGGATATGCCTGCTCCCTGTTATGTTTTTAGGAATTGTGTTTGTACAACATGCATTTTGCCAAGTCTAGAGGAGAATGGCCACAGGAGCATGCTGGATATCAACAGAACCCCCTCCTAAAGAATAATATAAAGGCCAATCCTATTTTTAAAAGGCATGATTAAAACATCTCACCCATCCAAGAAGGCCACAGATAATTAAGAGCCAAAGTCTTGGTGAAACAGAAATGTTTAAATATAGGCATTTTTATTAACACTTTCTCCTAAAATACACAGGTTGGTATAAATTTCTGGAGAACTGCACCACAAAATTTAGAGAAGTGCAAACTGTGAAGAACAGTTGTGTTTTAGTTTATGTATTTTGGGGTGACATGAATTCAGTAGGTTCACATTAAAATGAAAAACAAACTGAATTTATCCCCCATACCTACTGACAAAGTTAGAACATGTTTATCCCTCCAATCGTATTGAAAGTGGAGGTGGGGGGAAATCCTAAGCTATAGCACACAGTTTCAGTACTAAAATTAATAGTCTGCAGTAATAAAAGTTAACCTATGACTGCTTTTGACATTCATTTAAACCTTTTATTTCACCTATTTTACAGCTCATGCCATGAACCCTCTTATTACTTACAACTATAGAATGTGCTTCTCTTGGCATAATTAGGATAGAAACTGGAGCTTTCTGTTTCATATTATTTCAAGTTCTACAGCTGGTATTACTTATTTCAATTATTGAACATCAACTGTTTTTCCTAACTCTTAGAAAGTTATGCCAAGAAAATGAAATAATTTGATTAACATAATAGGCTTAATTTCAGTGTTATATAAAAACTAGTCTGAGTCTCAACCAGTTTCAATCATTTTAGAACCACCAGTTAGTAATTACATATGTGATTAGCTATCATATTGGAAATAACATACTGTGCCAGATCACTACATTTCAGTATTCAGTATTAGAGCTGATGTGTTCTGGGTGGTTAGTGTGACCAGGCAGACCAGGGCTTAAATTCCCACTAGGTCATGAAGGTCATTGAATCACCTTGGGCTAATCACTATCTCCCAGCCTAACCTACCTGCTTAAAATATCAGGGTGGGTGGGTGGGAGAATATCATGTATGCTTCCCTGATGTCATCTGAGGAAGTTTAGCATCAGTTTTCCTTTTCCTACATAGACTACGTTTCCAGGTTGATAAGTCCCACCTGCCCTTCACTTTCCTCTACACCATGTGCAGACATCAATCACCTTCTTGACCATTGGACCCAGTACTGGCCTCATCTGCTCAATCTGCCAGAGCCTGTCATTGCATGCAGGGGAAGTCCCTAACTCACTGAGGGATTGAGACACACTGGCTATCATCACCTGGTTTAGACAGCCAGTTGACGTCATTCCCAAGGTGTAGATAGGGTGGGGGAAATATATTTATGAGTGCGATCTGAATGCAGCAGGTTTGCTGAAAATAAGCAGGTGTGGATCTGCTAATATCTTGATGGCAGGCAGTCTAGTAAACTCTGTTTGTGCTGCTTTTGAGTTCTATGATGGAAGAAAGATGGAACATAGCTTTAACCAAATAACAATTAATTCTATTTATCCCTTCCTGAGTAGTCTTATATCACATAATTTTATGGCTTTGAAAAACAGGTATTTGTAAAGACAAAGAAAGTTTGATTGCTTTTTATGACAACAACAGGTGTTAGATTGGCATCAGGAACCAAAAGAAAAAGAAAAAAAACCTTCATTGCAAGCCAGCTAAAATCTTTTTCCTATTAATGATATATGCATCTCAAATTTTAGTTTCATTGTTTTAGCCTTTTTCAAAGTGATTGATTTATTGTTTTGTAATATAATGTATTTTGTGATGGATAACATGATGGCTCCAATAAGATCCATCAAAGCATTTCATAAATATTACAACAGATTATTAAAGCAATAAAGTCCAGTGGCAGAAATTTAATGAGATTGTGACACATTTGTGTAAAAGCCAAGTGACAAATTGAGTAATTGGAACTTTCCAAATATTAAAAGAGAAGTTTTCCTGATTAAGCTAACCAAATTGTATCACTCCTGCTGATTCCATGAATGAACCGAGAACACACTTAATAATGTGCTACACAGGCAATGGTGTGGCTTGGTTTGAGGCTTATTCAGTACTCTTGAGGAGCTAGCCAAGACTGGCGCAGGTTGGATAGCTCCCTGAGGGCGAAACTAGATGGGAAGCTAAATGCATTATTAGCAGTCAAGTCTGTGGGAGAATTAAACATAATGCTAAGCAGATTGCTCTATCAGTGCAAGCATTTGTTTGCCTGATGGAACAATCTACCTTCTTCTCTATGATGCTCTGAGGGTTCTTCCAACCCTCCAACCTAATTTGGGTGAGGGAGCACACAGTGGGAGGAGATTGGGGAAAGTCCTTTTGTTCTAGAGGATGTGCTTGTGCGGGCTTCTACTGGTGGAACCAGTTAGTTGAACCCAGCCCTGTGCTTCTTAAAAGAATAATAGGATGTGTGGCAAGTGAAGTTTGTTTGGGGCCACAACACATGGATAACCACATTTCATTCAGTCACAGCCCTGAAAAAAATATTCTGTTAACAGGCCATTTTGCACTGTTTACGCAAATGACAAATATTTTTCACATATGTTACTCTACACTTCTTCTCATTTCAAAGTTCAGTTAATTCTTCCTGCCTCCCATGTGTATGCAATACTGGCCTGGAATAAAACAGTTTTAGAGATCTGGCAGTGGAACTTGCAGGGCAGGCCTCCAAAGCAGAACTGCTTCCTATAGTAATGTTTCCAAGGTAACAAACAATGACTACTGTACAAGACACGGAACTTTAGCTAAGCACTAAGGATATGGAACAGCACTGCATAGTGGTTGGTGCTTCTCGTTATGCACTCATTACAATATACCAACTTCCAAACACACTGAGAGATGAGTGAATTCAGCAGAAATAATCAAGTCAATATTATATGTCAGCCTTAGCGCGTCTACTTATTGGTGTGTATATATAAAGGTTTGAAAAAGGAGAGGCTGTCAGCTCTGCAGGCAAGGGGTGGCATAACTGGGCATCTGAGCCCCACAGGAGTGCCACAGAAAGAATGTAGTTGGTCAAGGAAGCCGTGGACTAAAAAAGGTTGAAAACCTCTGCATTGTAAGGCAGTATCCTATGTTCATCAAGCTCCTTTCCCCCAATATTGGTACTGATAGATTAAGACCCTCCACACAGAATATATATTTTAGCAAAGTATTGTATATTATTTAAATAGTATGCAACCTTAACTGCTTTCAAACACTATTTAAAGCATTGGTACCTGCCTTGTGCCATCTTGGTAAGAATTGGTGGGAAATGGAGGAAAGTATGTTTTCTGTTGAGAGTGTATCTGGAAATGGTCCCTAATACCAAAATAAAAATCATATAAATGGGACTGGTTGGTTAAATCAGTGACACTGCTCTATCCTTGGTGCTGACTGCTGTTGCTTTGTTTGAAAGCTTCAAGTATTTTGCTGGGTTTGGTATTTAAGGCACTTGCCAAAAAATATTACATTCAAAAGCCATTATTAGATACTTCAGAAGAAGAAAATCGAGCGAAGCTGTGTGAAGCATAGTCTTTGAAATATTTTGAAAAGAACACGATGTGCATGCTCTCAAGAAGTGAGAAGTTCTAGGTTTCCACAAATTTATTACAGCATGACAAGCACTTATACAGGATCCTCAAGTTGTAACAGTTCAAGGAAGCTTTGCTATCTACATTACATAAAATGCCATGCAAATTTACAGCACCATGTAAATGTTTTATAATAGTCATTTCACAGAGCCTGACACACACACAAGTTAACTGCAGGCATTTGATACATTTCTTTTTATGTTTTCCACTTTCCAAAGAGTAGATTTGTCTCTGGATAACAGTGCACTCGAAGGAGTAATATCACACTCCTGAAATTACTTTGCATTGATTTATTTTGTCCTTCCTCCTGTGTAAATACACTATGCAAGCATATGGTAAATGTATACCGGGGTGTCTTATTCAGTTCTTAACTACATTATTATAGTTAGGAGTGTGCTGCTTCAACAGTCTCTGGTACAAATCTGCTGCTTGCAGCAAAAATGGAACTATGACTTTCTAACCATCAAATAGCTGCAAAACATGATTAAAAGGGGAATGTTAGTATTCCCCTCAAACTATTAAAAAAGACCCCATCAAGTTGAATTGTTACTTCAACAAGGAGAGGGAGAAGACAAAAGGACACTTGGTGAATATTAGCAAAAAAGCTCATCTCATTGGTAGACAGCAGAGATCTACAGTTCTGCATAACAGGCTCACTGCTCTATAAATCTTCTTCCCTCTGCAGTACTTTCTGTAGACCGTGATATATTTCTAAAAAGTTTCATCTAAATGTCACCCTGTAAGCTTGCCACAGTGAGAGCTATTCTAAATGTCACAATAGTCTCAATGTGACCTATGACTTAATTTAGGATTAGCCTACATCACATATTCCTAAAATGAATTCCTAAAGAGAAATTATGCATTTGAAATTTGGCACTTGATTTGCCTTGTTATTAAGCCTCTTCATCTGCTTTCCTTTGGTTTGCTAGTAAATAAGCCGCAGCATATCAAGATGAAGTAAAGCAAAACAACTTTGCTGTAAGGCATAGCTAAGACATGCACACAAATAATTAGCCAGCATTTGGGGCTGTATTCCCGTTTTTCATCCCTGTATGCCGATTAATCTCTGTCTGCATTGTGACTCTCATCATTATGGGCTAGTGACATGATGACTCTCCTTTAATCACATTCAGAAGCATGGTGGGTCTGAAATATGTTTATGGTTTGCAAGGTCATAAGTTCGGTCTCTGAAAAATAAATGGTTATGGGAAGACATCTGCATTTTTATTTAGGTATAGCATCTTGATGCATATGTAAAACACTAAACATAAACAGCAGAAGAGGCGATAGTCTCCCCACAACCACATTTATTCATCTTCCCAGATATCCTACAGCATTAACTCCTATGATCTGGTTCCAAAAGGGAAGGGAAGGCAATTCAGATATTGCAGCAGGCCTTTTTATACATTTAAAGTGAATGCGTGAAGAGGGCAGTGGGGTGCAAGCCGCACCTCATGTACTTGTCCCCAGTGCTTTTTTTCTAGAAAAAAGAGGTGCTGGTACTCACCCTGAAGTTGTTACAGTAAGTGTCATACTTTTTAACAACAAAAGAGGTGCTTGTACACAGCACCCTTGAATACCCCCTGAAAAAAAGCACCGCTTGTCCCCCATTTCCTCCATTGGGAAGTATACAGCTCCCATCATTCCTGACCATTGGCCAAGCTGGCTGAAGCTTATGGGAGTCATAGTCCAGTAACAGCAGGAGGTCACCATGTTGGATACCACTACTTTAAATGTGTTGCTGCACCACACAGACCCCAATTCCCCCATTCATCTAATCTTCTTTTCCGATGCTGCCCTCTGAAGCAGAACCAGCATTGTGCATTCTGCTATGAGCCCCTCCACCAGACTTCCTCAAACTCGGCCCTCCAGATGTTTTGGGCCTACAACTCCCATGAACCCTAGCTAGCAGGACCAGTGGTCAGGGGTGATGGGAATTGTAGTCTCAAAACATCTGGAGGGCCAAGTCTGAAGAAGCCTGCCCTCTACAGACAAAAGGACTAGATGCCACAATATAAAAGCACTAATATTAGGAAGTTGTGTTAACAATAGCAGCTCATCAGGTTCCTTTGAAAATATTGCACTATTCTTTGTTCTGATATATTTGTTTATTATATATAGATTTGAATTAAGAATATGAGAGTGTGAAGAGGAACATCATGTTCCAATCTATGATATGTGGATGTGCACTGCAGTCTCATTTGCTCTTTTCTACCTACAACACAAACTGGTTTTGCCATATAAAATTGCAATTCAACTTTTTCATTGCAATGATTCTCATTGTTTCTGTGTGTGCCTGCAAAGTTTCATAACAGGGCCCTAAATGTATAGTACTAATTCTGTGCTTTATTTGTATATGGATTTCCTCGACAAAAAGATACCCAGCCCTTTCAGGTAGATAAAAGGAGCAGTGCATATGGTTTTCTAGGAATCCGTTTATCTTCAACTGTTTTCTGCTCATCTTGACCATCCTGGGGGTATTATATGATAGTAAATGCATAGAGCGCCTTTAACAGTTCGGTTTAACTTCAGAATAAATTGTGGAAATGTTCCTGTTCATCAGTCTACGGCAATGGCTTATGAGGATATTGGATGTCTGTGAATTCAGGGTCAGATTCCCAGAGAAAAAAGCAGCAAGGTCTAGAAGATGTAGAATATTCACAAATCTAGCTGTCTGCCCTTGTCAAAAGAAATCATCTCTGAAAAGCAAGAGCAGTCTCATAGGCTGAAGCATGAAGAATATACCTTTGGCTTTCCTTTTAAAGCACACATAGTTTCCCAAGCTTTGGAAAAATTAATGTAGCTGCACACATGGAATATGCAACTTTCAAAAATCCTATTTAAAATACTCAGAAAGAGAAATGAAAGATATGATCATGTCAGCCAGATGGGCGGGGTATAAAGAATAAATTATTATTATTATTATATTGATGATCCTATGGATACAGCCTGATTTGGAAAGGTCTGCCAAGATCAATTTCCGAGGAAATTGGGGAATGGGTTGGAAAAGTAACTGCATTCAGCATCCAAGGAGGCTAGCCAAGCTTTTTAAATGCATTCTGAAGATAAAATGAAAATTTGGTGCCAACAACCATGGTATTCTCCTGGATAGACTTAGTGAGATTGGTATTGAATGCACTGTATTACATATCTTCAGGTTCTTGCCCAGAGAGGGTGAGTGTTACTTGCCTCCTGGTATTTGTGCTATGAGTGTTACTTGACTTCTGGTATTTGTGCTATGGGTTTCCAAAGGGTACAGTGCTATTTAATATGAAGCCATTGGGTGTGGTCATTCAGAGTTTTGGAATGAGGTGTCACCAGTATGATGACGACACACTGCTCTACTTCTCCACAACATCTGAATCAGGAGAGACTGAGAACACTTTAGACGGGTGTCTGGATGCAATGGTGGTCTGGATGAATGCCAGTAAGCTGTGTTTGAATCCAGGGAAGATGGAAGCTCTTTGGGTGGGTGCTTCCCATGATCAGGAAATTGGCATTAACTGTCCTGGATGGAGTTGCACTCCCTCTGAAGGAGCAGGTGTGTATTTTGGGGGTACTCCTAGACACATCCTTGTTGCTAGAGGCCCATGTGTCCTTTGTGTCTCGGGGTGCCTTTCACCAGCTTTGTATAGTTCACCAACTATGGCAATTCCTTGACAGGGACAGCCTGACCACTAGTCCATGCATTTGTGACCTCAGGAATCACCTGAACCCTTATATTCCTGCTTGATCACTAAGATCATCTGCAGGAGCATCTTTCATCATTCCCCAAGTTGGTGAAGCTCATTGGACACAATGAGAAACTGATTCTTTATTGCCATTGGCCTAGTCCTGTGGAACACTCTGCCAACAGAGATTCAGTGGGCACCTTTGGTGCCAACTTTTAAATGCATGCTGAAAACTTTTCTATTCCATCAGGCCTATGCAAGCAATTAAGAGTACACCCAGTGCTCCCCCCTCCAGAAAATAGGTGCCAGTACTCACCATGAAGTTGTTACAGTAAGTGCCACACTTTTTAACAACAACCTAAGGGGGGGGGAGCACTGGTTACACCTCCACAAGGGTCTATTGATGTTTGTTTTAAAGTTCTTTTTGTTTTTAACTTGTTTTTAACTTTTTATGATTTTGTCTGGTTTTATGTTTTTATATTGTTGTAAACCACTGTGATATATCTTTGTGATGCAGCAGTATATATTTTTTATAAATAAATAAATAAAATAAAAGCTAAAAGGCACAATCTTAATAGGTTTCCAGGCCCATATAATCATTTTGTATTGTCATATTCTTAAAGGACTATGGCAAAGAAACAGATTGTTGTAGTGTGCCTCAACAAAATGAGTAACTTCCTGTTAGATTTTCTATGGAAAAAAAAATTCATGTGTGGTTGAGATTCTGTTTGTTTATTTTTACCTGGGAAAAACCATCAAAGGCAGAGAGAGTCCTGGCTATTTTCAAGTGGCGAAGCTTCCAATTCTGCTTCAACCTCCTTTCCAAGGAGCATTCCCTTTTAAAATACTAAATCCCTATAAGGAAACAGGGCAGGCTGGCTACCTCCATCGCTGTGCTAAGTTGTTACCAAACTCATCCGCAGCTTCATTTAAAACTCTTGACAAATCCCTTATGGTCCTGAACTTTTGCAACTCTTCATCCATATTAATTTGCAGCCACCTCCTCTGGAACAATCTTATTTCTCTTCCCCTCTCTCCACTCACTCCCTGGCACATTTATAGATGTTTCTGGCGTCCCTGTTCCATCTTTCTTCCTGAGTACCAAGGCCAAAAATGCAACTGTTTGAGAAATATTTCCATTGCCTCCCAATAAATTATTTTTACTGTGTCAAACAACTGTTGTCTGCTCCCTTTTCTGCTAACAACAAAAAACCAACTTATTTTATCTTACCTTTTGTGCCATTTTCTTTTCATTCCCCCTCTTTGTTTTTCTTATCAATTTTTTACACTCCTTCTGCTTCATTCTGTATTCTTATCAGCCCTTCTCTGTACCTGATGTTTTATACTCCTCATATTCCCTTTCTTATCCGTGATTGCATTTTGTACGTACTTGTTCTCCACCTTGGCCTCTCTCCTCACTTCTGCTATATTTATTGCCATCTGACATGCATAACCTGGCTGTGCACGGCATTTAATTTATCTTTGAAAACTTTCCATTACCCTCCGTATTCTTTTCCCCCATCACTTCCGCCTAATCAATTCCATCCAACACATCACACATTCCACCAAATTTTTATCTGCTGAAATCCAGTGTTCTTGATGTCCCTCCACCCACTCTTTTCAGTGTCATCAAAGTCCCACCAACAAATCCAAATATACAGTGGCACCTCGGGTTACAGATGCTTCAGGCTACAGACGCTTCAGGTTACAGACTCAACTAACCCAGAAATAGTACCTCAGGTTAAGAACTTTGCTTCAGGATGAGAACAGAAATCGCGCAGCGGGAGGCCCCATTAGCTAAAGTGGTACCTCAGGTTAAGAACAGTTTCAGGTTAATAACAGGCCTCCAGAACGAATTAAGTTCTTAACCCTAGGTACCACTGTATACCCTCTCTTACTGTTCCCATCCTAGGAATTATTTTCATTGGGCTGGCCCTACCATTAGACTGAGTGATTCAATGGCCCCAGGAAGCAGATGCTAGGGAGCAGCAATGGCAGAACTTCCTGCCATTCCTCCTTATCCCCTGGCCATTCTGATCCCCCTGATCCCCCTGCCATTCCTCCTGATCCCCTCTCCTCTGTTGGGGAGAAGAGCCGTGGGTGCCACATATATAATGAAACCAAGGCAGGTTGTTGGCCCTGAAGCGAAGGTCAAGATGGTGGCTCCTCTCCTAGGGCCTCTGTGGTTTGATGGGTCAGTGTGTCTGGCTATTTACCAGAACGTTGCTGGTTCGAGCCCACCCAGGGATTGCTGTGGGATGGATTCCTGCATTGCACAGTGTTGAACTAGATGAACCTCAGGGTCCCTTCCAACTCTACGATTCTATATACAGAATCCAATCAGGCTGACAGTTGTACTAGTAAAGGGACAGCACCCTTTTCCTCATCTAAGTGCAGCAAATTAGCTTAGGGAACTTAGGGAGCTCAGGGAGAATGAGGGCTCTGCTTCTACCCACACCCCAGTATCTACCACCTCTGTTTCCCTAATGGTAGGGATGGCCATGCCACTCATGTCCAGTTTTCCATTCTTATCATTCACCACTTACCGGTATTTGTTTGTTCTTTCTCTCCTCTTTTATCCTCCCTCCCTGTGTTCACTCAGTCCTGGGTTTCCTTTTCCTCCCATTTCCAAATTTTATACATGAGCAGTAGCCCCATGCCATGCATGCATCTATAGCTGGTTCAAATTTTTTGTTCTTCTTGCTGTCTCGCCAAATGTTTGGAGGTTTGTCCCGGTTTTATAAAAATAAAAAAAATTAACACCTCCCCTCTCACTTCAAAACTAGCATTTCAAAGGTGAGATCTAGTTTAGTTCTCTCTTGGGTGTTCTAGTTTTGAGTCTGCAGGGAGTTTTTACAGAAGGAAGCAATAACTCTCTCAATGGCAGTCTCCTGTGTTAAATGGTAGTTTCATATCTCCTCCTACCCCTGCCCCCTGCTCCAGACACAGATTCTTCAGATGCTTTTCTAAAAACATCAGCATTCATTATATTTTATGTTGTTTTAGACAAAGTGTGTTCTCCCTCATGGAGAGCACAGGTTGCGGGCGGGGCTGACAAGACACCTCACTGTTACTAGGCAAATGGTTTGGCCATCCTGTAAGCAGGGGCGGGCTGTTAATGGGGAAATTTAGATGTTGCCAATTAGTGATTGACAGCCCTATTTGTTAAATACAAGGCACGCAGCAACGGACGTCCTCTTTCGCTGCATGCTTCGGATCACCCGCCCTCCCTTCCCTAATGTTAGGCTGTTTGCTTGACCTTGCTATTGCCTGTCATGGGGTCGTCTGCTTTGGGGCAGGGGCCCAGTAGGAATTTTGCCATTTGGCTGATTAGTGTGTGCCACTTGGTTTTCGCCTATCGCGTAGCAAATTGTCACAACTTGTAAGGTTTGCGGTTAGGCATTGGTCTGGAATTGCTGGGGGGTATGAATTCGGCTGTGCCTGCCCCCCCAAATGCTGCTGCTGGTGGAGGGGTATGGATTCGGCTGTGCCTGCCCCTCCAAAATGCTGCTGCTGCTGCTGAAGGGTTTTACCGTTAAAGGAACGCAGGGGCTCCCCCATGCTTTTGTCTGAAACCCCCTGGCAAGGGGCTAGGGCCACGCAAGCCCCTGGGAGCATGCTGGGGAGAGGTGAGGCATGGTTCCCAGTCCCGTCTCTCTCCCCAGGTGACTTACCCTTCCTGACTTCGCGGGGGGTGCGAATGTCAGAGCTGTCCCTGTGCGGTGGCAGTTAGTGCTACCAATGCCTAAGCAACCACTCACATTGCTGTATTTGAATAAAGTTGTGGCCAAAATTATGCCAAAAACCTTAAACAAAATTTAAGTGTCAATTGTGTTTTTCTTGGGGGGGGGGGTGTCTTGGGGACCTCGACGCGCAAGGGCCTCATGTCACAAACAGGTAACATAGAACAAGTTTTACTGTGACAGCACATTTGGCAGAACAGCTTCTTCACATTTCCATTATTTGCAGTCATGGATATTCATTGCTATTGCACTGCTTGCCACTACCTGCATGGGCAGAGATAGCTGTAATGAATCTGGGGTGTATGTTTGTCTCCCACTCCTCAAACACTCCTCCCCTGTATTCCAAAACCCTTTTCCTTTCTGTCCAAGTATGCCAGTATTTCTATGGCCTGTGTTTGTGTGTGTGTGTGTGTGTTTGTGCATTTGTGCACACATCTTTTAAAAGCAAATCCCAGGAAATATCTAAAGCTGGTAGAGAAAATGCTACCAGTCTTAGTGATCATGCTTCACAATGGGGGGGGGGGTTTCTAGGGAGGGAAAAATAATTTACAGGCACTTAAAAAATATTAATAATACCGGGGCCTTCCCCCTGAGTGATTATAAATTACTGCTAAAAGAAATGTCTCATAATAATTGAAATAGTGTTATCTTATGAATTTCAACTCAGTTAAAGGGACTACTGAGTTCAATGAAATTAATGCCCAAGTAACTGTGTTTAGGATTCTGGCTTTTGGTTTCTTTTACCCCCAATGTAAGTATATGTTGATTCCATCATGTATCGGAATCTAAATTGCAAGATTGCAAAAAGCAAAATGAAATGGTGCCATCTACTGGCCCAAGTAGATCTCACAGCAAAAGAACAGGAAATGCTCCAAACAAAGACATTTGCTTGCTGGAGTCATTTTACTGACTGCAATATCATCCTTGTTCTGAAGATTTAAATAGCATTCCTCTATCTATATAAAAATATGTATAACATAGACATACAAATATGTGCATGTATGTAGGTAAAAGGTAAAGGCAAATGACCCCTGGACGGTTAAGTCCAGTCAAAGGCTACTATGGGGTGTGGCGCTCATCTTGCTTTCAGGCCAAGGGAAAAGGCGTTTCTCCACAAACAGCTTTCCAGGTCATGTGGCCAACATGACTAAACTACTTCTGGCACAACGGGACACTGTGACAAAAGTCAGAGCGCACAGAAACACTGTATACCTTCCCGCCACAATGGTACCTATTTATCTACTTGCATTGGTGTGCTTTTGAACTGCTAGGTTGGCAGAAGCTGGGACACAGCAACGGGAGCTCACCCCATCGTGCAGATTCGAATGGGTGGCAGGCGCAGGTGCTCTAAACCACTGAGCCTCTTAGGCTTACTGATCGGAAGGTTGGCATGTATGTATACACTTATCATTGGCGACTTTGTCAAAATCCTTACTGAAATCAAGACACACTATGACCTCAGCATTCCTCTAATCCACCAACTTGTAACTCTATACAAAAAGAGAAAGAAATGAAAATCATCAAGCATGACTTGTTTTTGAGAAACCCATGCTGGGTCTTAGTAATCACAGCATCCTTTTCTAAGGAAAAGAGTCAGACATCCTTGCTGATCTACTGCAAACTACTCCAAGATCTATAGGTAGATCCTGATGTACTTTCTGCTCACCTATGATTTACTGAATTGTGGCCAGTATGTATATCACAAACAATGCTAGTCTTTTGCATTTTTAAAAGGTGGCATTAAAATTGTATTTAAATTATACACAGCTCTTCCTCTTCTTCTTCTTGTTGTTGTTGTTAACAACCTGCCCTTCATTCTAAGGTCCCAGGGCAGGTTATGACAATTTAAAATGCAGTTTAAAATAGTTTTATTTTCTAAAAATTTAAGTTTTTAAGCACATAAAAGGTTGGATCCTGAAAATATGTATGTCAGGTGTTGAAGACAAGGGCATATTCTTCCCTCAAAATATGTGTTTTGTTTGCATTTTTTCCTATAAAATACCAATTGTCTATTGGTATTTTCGAACCCAAAGCTACATCACAAAATTCAGAGAGGTTCATAATATGAGTAATATCTGTGTTCTGATCTACATCCAAATCTGGGACTGGCAAATTAGGTCAGTTTGCTTTATAATGCAAATCATATTAATTTCTCCTCCATCCCTAATAATAATAATAATAATAATAATAATTTATTTATACCCCACCCATCTGGCTGGGTTTCCCCAGCCACTCTGGGCTGCTTCCAACAAAATATTAAAACACAGTAGTCCATCAAACATTAAAAGCTTCCCTAAACTGGGCTGCCTTCAGATGTCTTCTAAAAGTCTGGTAGTTGTTTTTCTCTTTGACATCTGGTGGAAGGGCATTCCACAGGCTGGGTGCCACTACTGAGAAGGCCCTCTCCCTGGTTCCCTGTAACTTGGCTTCTCACAGTAAGGGAACCACCAGAAGGCCCTCATCACTGGACCTCAGTGTCCAGGTAGAACGATGGGGGTGGAGACGCTCCTTCAGGTATACTGGACTGAGGCCATTAAGGGCTTTAAAAGTCAGCACCAACACTTTGAATTGTGCTCGGAAACGTACTGGCAGCCAATGTAGGTCTTTCAAGACCGGTGTTATATGGTCTTGGAAGCCGCTCCCAGTCACCAGTTCAGCTGCCACAATCTGGATTAGTTGTAGTTTCTGGGTCACCTTCAAAGGTAGCCCCACATAGAGTGCATTGCAGTAGTCCAAGCGAGAGATAACCAGAGCATGCACCACTAGCGAGACAGTCCACGGGCAGATAGGGTTTCAGCCTGTGTACCAAATGGATTAATAATCCAATCCTATTAATTGGACACTGCTGCTGAATGTCAGAACTGGGAGATTAATTTAACTTCTCCCAGTCTCATAGCACATTTCAGTTAGCTAAGCTGCCTACTGCTAACAGTATTCTGTTGGCAAAGAAACCTCTTGTTAGGTCAAATTCGGCACCCAGTTGAAAGGCTGGTGCGAAGCACTGTTATAGAACACAACCAAACTGGGACACCGAATAAAAAGAAAAAGAAATTTGCTGACTTGCTTGCTTGGGAATTTCTCAGTCAAGGTGAACAAAGCATTCCTGTGGCACAGCATTTTAAAGGCACAAGTAACTCGCTCCATATTTTAATGTAGTGTCAGCAGCTTAACAACTGGTATTCATAAATATTAGATGCTCTTAACACTTTCAGCTGTTCTGATCAACCTTTCTATGACAGCAACAGCTCCTGCTTATCCTATTCCAGGTTATTAAGTTCAGTTAAACTCATAAGAACATGAACATTCCTGGACCTCCTAGCCTTGTCATGTCTGCTCACTGGCAAGTGGAACTAAAGAAAGAAAGCAGCTTTGAAAGTGTAAATTTCATGTTGGTTGGGTACTGCAGAAAGCAAAGCTCTCTATATTATATGTTTCCAAAATCCAATTTCCTACTCACCATGTTATTGGGCAAGTGTTTCTTCCTCCATCAATCTGAGGGCTATAATTTTCCTACCTAATGATGATCAGAATCTGTGCCAGTTCAAAAACTTGCTAACCAAAAAATGCCCTTTTCTGAGACAAATGCCCATATAAAGTATACCGTGATATCCATTGTTAAACATGCAGGGAGTAGACCCACTGAAAATCAATGGATTTAATTAATTTGTCCATTGATTTCAATGGGTTTTCTCTGAGTCAGCTGGATATCAGCCATATAAAGCACACAAAACCCCCACCTCCCCAAAAATATGTTATTAATTAACGAATTAAATTGTTTCATGTAGTTGTTGTTTTTAAGTTTTTTGCTTACTTATTTTAATCTCTGTGGTTTTAATGGTTTTTTATAATTGTATATTTAGGAACTTTACTTATTTGTATGTTGCCTTGGTCATTGCTCACCATGGAAAGGGAACTGGTAAATGATATCAGTAAAAGTCTCTTCTGCTGCCCTGTGAATTGCTGACATGCCATTTCCTTTGCCTTTTCACTGACATTTTTAATTCTTGTCGTCTCTGTCTCTCTCACTATTCTATGACCAGTAGAGGACTGTGTGGTGGGTTAACCTAATCCAAAGAATGACAACAGTATTGTGGTCAAATTGTAATATGCACAGAAAGTGTGACTCCATTTATTGTGACTGATTTTTTATCTTTCTTTTTTTTTATAAAAAAAAAAGCCGCTATGGGAGAATCTGATCAGGACCAGGGCATGAATTTAGGTTTAACCTCTCCTCTTGCTCAGTGGTCCCTGTCAAGAATCCTCTGCAGGAGCTGCTGCTTCTTTCCTTGGGCAGGGAAGAGCAGGGGCGGTGGGGAATAACAGGTGTTTTAAAAAGCTTCTGTGTGCACCATAGTCCTCCTGATCCTGAGTGAACTCTTTCCAGGTGCTATGTTTAAAGAAAAAAGGAAGACACATAATGTGCATCCATATGTTTAATGTATTGCCTAGTCTTGCCCTTAAAGAGGCAGCAGAAAGGGTAAGGAGGAGGTGTCCTCCTCTGGCAGCAGAAGACATCTGAAGGCCTGTTCACTGTGAAGGTGCTACTGATTTATGAATGTGCACCACCTTGGGATCACTGGTCAGGGTCCTAAATGCTGCAAATCAAGAAAATGAAAATAAAATACTGTTGACTGTCAGCAGTTTTAAAAGCAATTTGACATGTGGACAGCTGTCTTATGTACACATATCTTTTATGAACCCTGTTCCAAATACAGATGGACTAAGCATTTTGCTGTAAATGTTCACCTTGATGTTTTATACCTACTAAAGCTTGCATCTGCCCACAAATCACTGTTCTACCTTGAACAGTAACAAAAGCAGGGAAAACACTGGTGCATTGATCTCTACAGCACACAGAATAAAGCCCACACTGCAGAAACTGCTTGCTAATTAAATTCCCCTCAACTTTTAAAGTTATTGCCGATAAATCCAAGACCAACTCAATTGCTGGATCCTTATCTTAAAGCATAATGGCAAACTTCTAGATTTGCCCAGGTCAGTTTTATATATGAAAATGTTTGAATTAAAACTTATATGATTTTAAATGCAGAAATATGCTTTCATGTGAAGATGCTGGGTATATCACTGTTTTTCACTCTCTATTTCACCACATGGTGGGGCCACACTTCTGAGGCATAAGCATGGAAGAGCTCCATCAGATTTTTTATTTTATTTTTTGAATTTCCACCAAGAAAAGAGAATGCAAAGCAGACTATGAAGTGTTGAGAGTCCCACATATCATTTAGAGAAAGCCCAGACTCTAAAGCCGCAATGCCCAAGATAAGTACAGTTGCCGGAACAAGTTTCTTCTGTGTGTGTTTACTGACACCTATTGCCCTTCAAACATTATGGTGTTGACTGTGTGACAGGCAGTAGGCACACTGGATACAGATATGCTACAGAAAATGTTAAATGCCTCTAGCTCCCCTTCCGTCTTCTCTCTTATTCATAGCTAGAAATTATCCTGGGGAAAAAGTACATAAAGCTTTTAAATCTCTACAGAGAATTTCAAACGTAATGTTGTAAATCATGCATTTTGAATGAGTCGCAAATTCAGCTTTGCTTGGAAATGATTTAGTAAAAGCATGTGATGCAGACATTTGGCTAATTCAAACTATTTTGTACATTCAGTATGGCCATTTCAGCGATAAACAAAGTGCAGCCTTTCAAAATTAAGAATCCTCCTCCCCCTCATGCACACACACACAATCCAGTGGTAGATATCTATTTGCAACATATTATTCTATAAATCTATAACACAATGAAAAATGTACCAATCCCCAGAGGAACTGTTGTCATTTTAAATATTTATTTTGCTCTGATAGTAAGATTTAAAGGTTTTAATCAATATAATGCTTGTTCTAATTCATGAAATATGTACACCAATGCTTACAATTAGGAAAAATAACTCCTTGCCCATGACGCTTTTCATACACAGGAAAACCATTACATCTTGGCAGTCGTCCTAACTTAATTATCAGAGGTTTTTCTTGCTGGCCTCCCCACCCCACCCTCACACAGTTAATAGATAGCAGAATCCCAGTAGGGAATGGGGCTTCTGCTTTAACTGAACATTGTCAGACATCAGAAAAGCCGACTGACGTACTTTGTCTCATTTCCATGACCAAAGCAACTGAGCTCTTTTTATACCAGGAATGGTGGTAGAATCTCTTCAGCTATGGGTGGGGTGCAACTACTATGCTACCTTCCTAGCAGGTGGGTCATCATTGCTTACTGGGAGGGAGAGGACAAGGCAGTGTTGGCGCAAATGCACTGGTGGAGCCAATCCAGTGCTCCTGCTGGTGCCTTTTCACCACACCAACCTTCCTTCCTCCCCTCTCCCAGTAAGCAGCAGTGACCTACCTACCTGGAAGCTAGCACAGCACCTCTATCCCACCCAACCTCTGCAGTTACGTATTTAACAAAATGCTTGTAATTGGCTGCTTTCACACAAAAGATGATCTTCTCCCTAAGCGACTTTACTTTCTTTCTTGGTTATGCTGTGAAGGGTATCATTACCGCCACCTCAGAAGCAAGGGAAGGGAGAATCAGTGCTTTCCTTTCCCAAATGCTTTTGTCCTGAGGTGGTGGCAGTGCCACTCCTGAAATGGTCACTCCTGCCTGCCATAAATAGACTGGAGGCTATCAGCAGCAACACTGCTGCATTTCCTATCAAACCAGAGCAGCAGCCATGTTTGACAATTCAGTTTTCTGTCCTTGGAGACATCCAAAAGTTGTTCCTACATTGTAATTCCGCAGGGCTGACCCTATAATTGGGCAGAGCAAGGGACCAACCAATTCAGGCACCAGAGTTGAAGCATCACAAAATGGCAGCAAATTGTTAGTTATTTAATTTTAAAGTTACTGCATTTTTATTAGCGGGGGGGGGGGGGATAGGTTCTTATGAGATTTGTTGCCTTATGTGTCACAATAGCTTGGAGTGGGGGCTTGGATATTGTGCACCTTGGCTTGGTATTGGGGGAGAAAGAATGTCATTTGCACTCAGGCCACACCATGTCTTGGGCCAGCCCTGCAAACACCAGTCTGCAAACCGTAACTCAGCAGTAGAGCATCTGCTTTGAATGTGAAAGGTCCCGAGTTTCACCTTCATCATGTCCATACAGGGCTGGGGAAACCCTCTGAAACCCTAGAAAGCTGTTGCCAGTCAGCGTGGACAACACTGGATAGACCAAGGGTCTGACTCAGGATAAGACAGCTTTCTATCTTCCACTATGCTCCTATGAAAGAAGGCAAAACCTGAAAAAGGGTCAATAGAGTCAGTGGCATGCACAATGCCTTTACACTAACCTGCTTTACCAATTTTAACAAAATCATGCAAGAATTCCATGAAAGGTTTGGCAAGGAACAAGTTCTGTGCTGCTAACACAAAAACCATAACACTGACAGAGTCCCTTAAGGTAAGAACAGTGATGTATTTGAAAGCTAGCTGCTATTTATAGCAATTATTGAAGCCTTGGTTATAAATCTGGATGATGTTCAGAAAGGGTGAACCAATTTGCATGATTATTGATGGCAAACTAATTTTGTGTGGTTGAGCCGAGACTATTGCCCGTCTGAAATGTACTTCATATAACCTTTCCAGTGTGCAAAGTACTCTGGAAGATATTCAGTTTAAATTAAAAAGTATTTCAAAATCAAATGCATGGTAAATGAAACAAATTTTGCTTCTATTGCTGGAGTAACCTCAACATCCCTCCAAACCATTACAAGAACTCTTTATTCCTTTAATCCAGAGTCTGGAGCAATGGACATATTATGGGTGCATTAAAATGCTCTTAACCTGATTGGATTTTTGAGAGCGCTGAAAGGTAAGTAAGTGGGTAAATACATGCCAGAAAAGTCTGAAAATTGTGATTCTCTGAATTATTCATGGCATTCAGTTGTGGCTGGGAGGGGACTGAGTAGCAAAGAGAGAAATACATGTTCATGATTCTAAGTCTTGCTTCAGGGATTTCCAAAACAAATTAGCAGGCTCCAATGCCGTTAGTGCAATGTACCCCTCTGTGGAGAATGCATGGCCACTCAATTTAGTTTCTTGATCTGGTTTCCTGGCTGTCTGCTCAACTGTGGCTTTGTAAAGACTCAAGGCTGTTTACTCAACTGCATGAAAAGTTGGAGGACCTCATAACCAGGGGCAAGCATGGAGCAACCCACTCATGGAAAGAATGAAATAAAAGTGATGGCAGCGAAGAGGCCCTCTCTTGGGGAAGGGCCATGGCTCAGTGGCAGAGGATCTGACTTGCATGCAGAAGGTCCCAGATTCAATTCCTGGCATCTCCAGGTATGACTTGTAGAGACTCCTTTCTGAAACACTAAAGACTGCCAGTCATCACAGATGATACTGAGCAAGATGGAGAAATAACCTTGGTATAAGGCAGCTTCCTGTGTAGAGCAACACAACACACAGGCTGTGAATGGCAGAAGAGGGAGTCTTTCAGCTTAGCTTGCACATCACATGTCAGTTGAACCAGAAAACCTGATATTGATGGCCCGTCAGATGCAAAAGGCAAAACACATGGCAATCTGGCACAGCCAGCAGAAGGAAGAAAGCAAGGTGATAGATACAGATTCCCCTCCCACATGCATGAGAGAGGATGGATTGTGCCTAAACTGTTTAATCCACAACAACATCTTTTATGCAGGATAATACCCTAGCTTTACATAGTTGTGTTCAATAATAAACATTCCATGCTCTGTACAAACACTGAGCACTCAAAATGAATCATATATAAATCTGACATGGACACTTTCCTTTTATGGCTTAATCTTTAATTGTCTCAAAATTTATTTTTATAATATATGAACACTTTTGCAACACCCCCTCTCAAATTATATATGTAAAGTAATTTACATCAAATGTCATCTATAATTTAACAAGCACATTATTACTCTGATGAGCTACCAATCAAGCTTTGATAGAATTAACTGCAAATCAAATACCATTTTTTTGTTTCAATAAATCTTTCTTGAAAGAAAACCTTGGAAAATGACTGTTGTAATTACTAAAATTAATCCCATTACAATACATAAAATACATGATTTACGGAACATAGGTAGACAGTCCATTGATTACAATGAACTTTACCAGTAGTACTGTGACTTGCTAAGTCAGTTAGATTTTTTTATTCAGTCTGCATGCTAAAAGTAATCACTGAAACTCCTTGCAGCTCTTGGTTGTCATAGAACATATAGGAAGCAAATATAGGTATTATACAATTCTAAGACAATTGTCCATTGTCATGATGAACAGAGAGAAAATTCATATACTGCGCAGGTCTCTGTGAGCTATGAGTACAGGTTAAATTGTAAATAGACACAAATGCACAAACCCGTGCACACACACAAAGACACACTTAACTAAGGTCAGGAACTATATTTGTGTTCATATTATATTGGTGTGCTCAAGTTAATTACAATAATTTACATTTTACCAGCAAATGTACTTATATTCAGTTGTATGGGGAACCATTCACTTGTATGGGGAACAATAACTGGATGTGTGCAGGAACATCACTGAGCTAAGAGGTAACCTTCCTGTTAATATCCCTGACGGCTTGCTTGGTGGGGGGCAGCAGGTTTTGCCTCTTTCCTAACAATTGTGATGAGTATTGATAGCCCTGTTTCTTTTGTTTCATAAAACATGTTAGTAAGCTGTTCTTCTCCAGGAGCACCTTGCAATGCTTAATTATAAAATTAAGTCTGTCTGAACTTCATACCCCTCCCCTTAGTCTGAAAAGGAAGGACACCCTTCTCCTTAGTCTCCAAAATGTGTGGATTGGGTGTGTCAGTAGAAGAAGGAAAAATATTTCTACACGTTGTGAACAGAACCAAAGGAACTGCTTCAGACCTTCTCTAGCTGGGTGCCGGCATCTATATCAGTTTACGGAGCTGTGGTTGTTCTGATGCCTGGCTCACGTTAAGCCATGGAAGTTAATTGTTGCTTACTGCAAATTAGTGCTGAATGTCAAATAATGTGTTGTTTTTGAACTTGCAGAAGTAGAGCAAAATAAACCATGGGACAATCAAGGCACATTCTCTGAGTTAGAACATTCTGCCAAGGCAAACTCAAATAAATTAAGTTGTTTGTACAATTCCCACCATTTACATTAATTAATGTGCTGCAGATACTATCTGCACAGGTCATCAGAATGCATTAACGATGCATTATTTTACATTACATGGTGTCTAACTGAAGCTAAACAAGCCAAAATGTGGTATAAACCTATTTACCATGCATATATTGCACTAGCACTTAGGGCAGATCTTATTTTCTCAGATTTCCAGCATGCATTTATTCAGCCCAATAAAGAATCAAATGTGACAGTAATGCTCAACTGGGCTCATGCCAAAACACTTGAAGCTGAGGCTCTCCCTGCCTACCTTCCAAACATAAATTGATACAGCAGGCCTTCAACTCTAAGCAGCTACTTTTCAAAAATGTAGTTCATGCATTATGAATTAAATGCTAATTCTGTTTTTAAGATGGTCTGCGTTCATGTGATGAAAGATTAGGATATCCCATTTAATCTGTAATGTGCTGAATATACATTTTATTCATGCAGCAAACAGGAAAGAAACAAATGAGCCGCTCTGGACTCCCCAGCAGCTGATTCGCACATGTGTTTTACAACAGAATGGGAAACCCTAATGATGACACCAGATTATTCACCACAACCACCAAAGGGGGAGTCAGTATAGGAAGTGATAGAAGTGAGGAACGAGGCAAGGTCAGCTGAAAGAGCAACTGCTTCTCATTACAGGCTAGACTGAGGATCATGCTTAGAGAACACCTATGCATTTTGGTGACCCACACACCCCTTCTTCTTTCCATGGACTAGAAGGCTATAACTGTGGTCCTCTAAATGATGCTTTAGGAATCAGGTCTGGTCTGTCCTTAACTAAATACTATAGCTTCTTTGCCAAGACAATCAATGCCTTAAATCAGTGGCAGTCAACACAGTCCCCTCCAGATGTTGTTGGATTACAACTCCTATAATCCAAGGACCACTTGCCAAGATGGCTGAAGCTGATAGAAGCTAGAGCAGCAGCATCTGCCTTATTATTATTTTTTATCTATAAAAGGATTTCTATGCCGCTAACTCATGTAAAATTTAAAGGTGGTATACAATATATACAACAAAACATAAACCACCATGGAAACAATACAAAATAATTATTAAAATGACTGGCTAGACAAGCTATAGGGAAAAGATGTAAGAATAAAAGCTTTTACATATACTCAGATCAGTGGGACCAATCATAGGCAACCAAACTATACATTTGCTTTTCCTGCATTAAGTCCAGTCAAGTAACAGCTATTTTGCCAAAATTTCTTTCTCCACTTTGCATAATCTGCCACTAATGCACTTCACAACAGCAGTCTAAACAGATCTTACAGGTGTCATTGCCCCCCCCCCCACAACTGAGTCATTATTAACCAATCAGATATGGGGAGGGGATTTAAGTGATTGTACAGACACCTTTGCAAGGGTAGTAGAAAAAAACTTAATATAATCTTGTCTTTCTTGAATACTGGATTCACTATTTTAATATCTCTCACTGAATCATCATACCATAGACTTGATTTGGCCTAGCAACTTCTTGTAACAGAAGTAGCCTATTTGGAGGATATAATGTGATTCTGGTTTTGGACTATACAATAGGAAAAGGTTCCATTTCTTGAGTGATTAAATGCATTTATGCATGAAGTAATTCAATAAATACAAGTGCAGTTTTAAGTGACTACTGGAAACATACTACATATCCTGCAATTTGATACCTCAAACAGATTAATTTCAAATCCTTCTGGCTTAAGTTCTTCCTCTTCTCCCTTTCCACGGAAATGATTTGATCTCATGTTAAATTCTTTGAAAATAATCAGCTGAATTTCAATGGAAAATGATGACATAATTAACCTTAGTATTATCATCTCTGTGATTGGGTTTGACCTCATTCTGAGACCGTTAATTTACTTCTTTTCATTTCATTCAGTGGGCTTGCAATCTGTATTTCTTGGTCTCTCTTCTTACCTCCCTATCCCCAAAAATCCTTTGTGTGAACATTTTACTGTTATTTAACAGTAAATCATTGCAATCTAAATAGCAAATGCATATTTCACAGTCATCATTGACAGTATTTTCTGGCTGGGTTTGCAAACATTTTTGAAGCCACTGACAATTGTAAGAGAAATTATTAAACTCATCCTTTTTAATTACCCCCAAATGATTTAGGCATTGTGTTTATTCTAAGTAACATAAAAATCAAGGGTGGTGTTCCATGATTATGTGGAAATTTGCATTTAAGCAATGTTCAAAGCACTTTTTACATGTAAACTCAGTAATACAACAACCTAGTAATGTAGGTTGGAATTCTGTATTCTGTATTCTGGAATCCTGTATTCTTGATGAGGTACTGCATGAGTTACAGCAGTTTGGCAGAAAACACATTGGGATTTACTGGTAGATCTTGGATGCTTTAAAGTTCAACAATGGCAACAAAATTACTCTCCCTCCCCACCTGTAAATTATACTTATGAAATGAATACATTTTGGGACAGTGAGTAATCAAGAGTGATTTTGCGTGTGTGAAAGCACTGAGAGCTTAGTTTAGTTCCTTAGCTCTGAATTCTTTCATTCTAAGTATGTGCCTTTTGCACCTGGTTCCACTTAATAGATCTCAGGATTCTTCTTGTTGTTGGTGTTGTTTTAAGTAGATCCCACAGACCTGACATGTGCACTAGTTATTACAGAAGTTTAGCAAGACATTCTGCTATCACTGTTAACTCCTTGACTTTGTCCATTTAAAAGCTTACTTTTAAAATTACATGTGCTTAGTTGGTGGAATATTGTTTCCACGGTTATTAAGGAAGGCCTTCACCTATGAGAACTAGAAACAAACATGTTTAGTAAATAGCATTCTAAGGATTGTGAGATTTCCAGTTTCAGCCCTCAAATCTAAGCACTAGGGTAGGACCTTGGGTTATTTTAAAGCTGGAGAATGACCACCACCATCACCTTTTCATTGGAAACCACTTGGAAAACAACTGTATAAAAGTGGACTATATATTTTTCAGATAAAGAAATAAACTCTCTCTCTCTCTCTCTCTCTCACACACACACACACACACACACACTCACACAAAACATCCAGTGTTTGATTAGCATACTACTTCTTGCACAATGGGACTTTTCCTTCCTTTCCTGTACCACCTCCCACGCTGTACCACCTCCCATACCCTGAAAATCTGCTCCAGAAGGCTAGGAGACATGAAAGGATACCCC